CTGGCAGTGCTAAAGGATTAGATATTATCTGGTTTATTTCCTTTCATATGAGGAAAATATAAAAATTTATGGAAAAATACTTATCTTTAATGAATTAATTAAAGATGATAAACGGGGCTATACGCAGAAGCTAACTTTTATATCATAAAATGACATAATCGCTAGGATGGTTGAAATTGCACACGCTGGTAGACGTGTTAAAACATCAGATTCTGATTTATTTCCTTCCATATAAGGAAAATATAGAAATTTATAGAAACATACTTAAATTTATTGGATTAATTAAAGATAAGAAATGCGGCTGGATGTTGATGCTAATCTACGTATCATCAAATGACAAGTTTTCAATGGTGGCCAAAATGGTTAGCGCTGGTTGTCGTGGTAATGGATCAGATTTTGGTTTACAGGTTTTCATTTATTAATTCATTTGAATGAAAATTTTTATCAAGATCAGAAAACATTATTTGAAGCTTTTGTTTTATTCCTATTTAGCATTTTTAAATTGAATCATACTATAGTCACGCAATGATTTTTTTACCGCTGGAAGAATCTCAAGATATTAATCAATTTTAAATCCGTCGCATTATTAAGCTTTGTTTTTCAAATATATGCCAATTTGACAACTTTTTTCTAATTTTATTATTAGATTTAATGTCCTTTCAGTTATTAATATTCAATATTAATGCTAATTTTTCACTGTTTAGTCTAATCTTATACCCAAATGAAAACAAATATCTTGTTGCCGGTTATAGCACGTCGTTCGATACTGAAATAATAAGGTCCTGTATTATTAATTATTCCTGTATGATTCCTAAAAGTTCGTCGTGGTGTAATGGCCAAAAACGTGAAACTAGTCCAACCTCATCCAGCTTGCTATCAAGCAGTATGATACCCAATTTTGATTTGAGCCTATTTAACTTGGATGCACGACAGCAAGCACAACTGAAATAACACGTATTTCTGATAGTTGGTAAAAAAAATATGATTTCTAAACAAACTCCAATATACTGTCACTTTGTATAGTTACAAATTCAATCGATTTAGTTCTGTAAAAATAATTGAAAAAAAGTATGAGAAAATAATTCAATATAAAAGAAGTCATTAGTAAAATGATGTAGTACAAGAGATTAGATAGAATCTATTCTGATCCAGATTTGGTAAGATTAAAGTTGTTGAAATAGAATAGATTTAATGATATTTTCTTAAATTATATATTAATTATTTTTAGATATTCTATAAAAATGCATGTAAAGAAATTTAAAAAAAATGTGAATGTAAACATAAAACTAGAAAAAGAAAAATGATAAAAGAATGTATGTAGCTAAAAATGATTAAAGTCATATAAAATTTCAAACGTAGTATCTAGATATTTCTGTACATTAATTTAATATTAACTCTGACAAATAACTGAAGTCGGTAAGGATTATTCACGTAGATTATGAATAAAGGGGTTTATTTAATGTTAGTAGCTTGATATGTGGCTCAATTAGTTTGAAAAGAGCTACCTTTAAGGAAATTGTATTAAAAAATTGTATACAGCATTCAACATATCAGCATAATTATTATGTTAATGAAAATAAATAAATAGTAATTAATAAATTTATCAGGATTTAAATGAACTAAAAATTAATATCTGAAATATTTTTCAATTGGAGGTATTGGAAGTAGAATCAAAAAAAATTTTTCTGAACCAAACGATCGCTCAATTTTAATCCGTGCAACTATTTTAAATAATTCAAATGAACAAGCCGCTAGTTTTTATTAATTTTTTTTTAAATTCAATTTATCGCGATATCATCATACTGTGAAACGCACCTACATATCCGGTTAGATCTACTTTCTAGATGCGCCCTGCGCGAGTGAATGAAAGGCTCTCATGTAAAACTAACCAAAAGACGAACCTTAAACAATGTTGCCGGCCAAGAATGCCAAATAAATCTTTCAGATGAATATGAAATAAAAGGTAAATATTTGCTCGGGAGATTCTCACCGTGTGAGAGATGCTCCTTACCCGATCCGAGAGTACAACAATGGTCAACATTAACAATAAAGTTATTACTTATTGTTAGTCTAATAGTTGGCGAGGTGTTGTGGATGCATGGCATGCAGAGAGTAGTTCGTGATCGAGGTCAATGTTTTGATAAAGACACGGTCTGTTGCTACAATCGGTTTTTGATAGTAGCGGTCAGGATATCAGATCGTTTTATGTACTTTCACCTGAACTATTTAAAAGTGAAAGATTTCGTTCGCATCAACTTTCCGTACGCGTTTGTCCAAACATGTCTGGTCGCCCGTAGCCAACATAGACATCGGAGCCGACGCATGTGTTAATTTATTCGGTATTGTTTTGTTATTTTGTTTTTGTAAGAAATTTAAAATTGGGTTAATTTTATTACATGCCAGCGGATACTTTTACTTTTAACAAAGTCGATTATTCCATTGGGATTGCTATTATTTGTTTTAATTGCTTGTCTGTGAAACTCTCATGGGAAGTATGATTTACTGGATATTCCCTGACACTGTACTTGAATATTTAAAATAATGCGGTTTTGAATAATTAGCGTATATCACACACACACACACACACACACACACATATATATATATATATATATATATATATATATATATATTCAGAGTGTTCCAGAACTCAAGCCGGAACAGGATGACACAATGGTCCGTAACTATCCTGAAAAAAAATCTCAATCTGTTTGGAAATTATGAGCTTTTAAGTTCACTCTAGAGCAGTGGTCGTAGAACCAGGGTAAATTACCCCAAATGGGGTTGAAATGTAATTTTCGGAGGTAAAAAAAACTGTTTCAATTGATATTTACTATATTTGTTACGTATTTGTCCGTATGGCGGTAATCTTCATTTGCCATATACATTAAGTTACACAAAAATATTTTGGGGTAATGATTAAAAAAGTTCTCCGATCGCTGCTTTAGAGACTTACAGGACTGTGACCATTTTTTGCTTATTGTGGTTAAATTTTATTAATTTTAACCCTAACCCTAACTGTGAAAACATTTCTAGGACCAGAGTCAAAAATAATGACACAATTGCTCCCATTTCTCAAAAACTGAGACTTTTTGTTAAACTAGGAATTAAAAATTTTCAAAGTTGGTCGACTTTGAGAAAGCTTTCTTAATGAAAAGCACTGAGGAGTATTGGAAAGCTCTATCAAAAGTTAGCGCATTTAATCAGGATAGTAAAATTTTAAGATGTAAAAGGTAAAAAGAGTAGAATGAAGACCCTAAAAATAAGAAAAAGGAATTTTGTTCGGTGTGCAAGAAATATTTTTTACGGTTACGAATCCATAGTTTTCATAAAAACTCTGCATCTGTTCCAAAATTCATAAATACATTACATTACATTAAACAAGTTTTTGTTTTAATTTTTTTCACGACAACTACGATCAATAGTATCACCCCGACTCGGCTTGACGTCAAGGTCTAGGAGACCCTGTATTTTAATTTCAAATTATCTGTAACACCGCGATGACACGATCTTTTCTTCACTGGATACTCGTCAAAATAAAATATCTGACACGCAATCGATCTTCATAATTGTGTCTAATCTGTCATTTGTCAGCGACTCTAGATTCCTCTTACTTCACGATTATACTAGTTTCGAAGACTGACAGAGTGGAGACAGTCACATAAAATGTAATGATTGCTTACCAACAGCTTTCATTCTAGAAAATCTCCGGTGAGATTTTATAGAGATATGCGTACTGACAATAAAATATAATTTGTTACAAAAGTTATATTGAAAAATTGGGCAAAACATTATTTTTTCATATGTGATTACAATTCTATAACCTGTACAGATCGTACACATTCTTTGTTATTAATCATGGACTAAATAATAATTATTATTGATTTTATTGAACATAATATAATACTTTTTACTAATATTTTGGCTTTTCATTAAATATCGCATTTTTTTAAACTATAGACATTAGGTTTTTGAGAATTTTGACTCTTATGAAAAAAATTGACGTTATTGAAAAATTTGTTTTTTTTTTTAATTTTGAAATATTTAGATGATTTTGAACTTTTTTTCAAATCAGTCACGCTGAGTTAGCTGCATAGAGACAAAATATTAAAACGCGTAAGCGCCTCTGCGTTATCTCAAAAACTGAATTACCATTTTTTGCACTTTTTTCCCCGTATCTCCGAAACCGATGGATCTAACTCTGCCAAAAAGTAATCAGCGCGTCTCCTTGTCAATACAATTCGAATGTATTATAAATTATTCAAATCAGTTGATTTTTGTTCACAAAATCGTCGACAAAAATTTGTATCCGAACACACACACAGACATACACACACATTCATTTTTTCTAAAGTATGCCAAAATGTTTGGAAACTTTTGAAACTTAAAGATATATCAAAAATTTCATTATTGTTTTTTGCGATTTCTATAACTTACTCCAAGGGAAGTTAATAAACACGATCTTTGATAGTTCTGATGTTTTCCGCAGAAAATGCAAAAAAACGGGAGTTTAGTCCCTTTGACCTTGAATGAAAAAAAAAACGCAAAGGTCAGATCGATGATGAATTTTGACATTTCATTTGTGATGACTTATTTAACATCTGTACCAATTTTAAACTCTATGCGACTTATTCCGAGTTGAATGTCTATTCTGACTGGGCTATACCCTTTTGATTGGGTTAGCCGTGCTCTGAAGGGCAGCCGATGGCCGAAGTCGCTCGGCTCTCGGCCCTAAGTCAAAGCAAATGGTAAGCAAAAACAAAAGGTGTCACATCGGACACTGCTTTCTCTCTAATAAAACGTCATTACGTTCACGTGCCATCACATATGCGCGAGGAGCATCTCTTTTCTTCGCCGAAGACAGGCCGCGCTGGAAGAGCGGGACGGAGTGGTTCCGACTACTTCCGAAGCGAGACGGGCTGATGTATTTTATCCAAGAAGTTTTCAATTCTAGGCATACCCACAAAGTGTATCATTGTGTTCTACATGACGCGACGGGGCAGTCTCTTTCAGACCGCGGCCGAACGATGTTTTTGACGGTTTAATTTCAATTTTTGCAACTTGTGACTTCGAATACACTCGTACGTGACCTATCCACTTTACCATCGGCCGACCGTGAAAGTTGTGTTTGTGCTATTGAAAATTTCGTGCTCAATAATAAATATTCAGTTTTTTTGTCTAATCAGGATATTTAAATTTATGTGTACAAGTGTTAAACGCAATCTCGTCGCTTTTCCTAATATTCTTGTTGCCAATGCTGGCCTTAGTGCATCGGCCGACGCAAATGTGCTTGCAAAATAGAGAAATCCGGTGAAATCACACATGTTAGCGATCGTCCCGGTCAAACGGAGCGTTCGCAGACCATGCCAACCCTCGTGGAGTTGATGTGTCTTTCTGGTTTGATTCTGGTCGCTGTTGCGATATCTTCGATTGGATATGCGGACGCGGCGAACGTTGCGCAGGACGGACATCCGTCCAGCCAGCAAGAGCAGGAGATCCTGCTGCTGAACGCCTTAGCTCGCAGGAACGGAGCGACGGGGTACCAATTTGACGTAGATCAAGATTCAATTATGGATATGCTAGGAAGAAGTGAGAAATACCAACTCAATTTTTACGAAATATTATGAAAATTAATCCTTTTGCTACGAATGTCATCTCTGGACGACATCCACATGACGTGCTGCGCATACGGATGTCGTCCATGGACGACATGCTGTGTTTGGATTTGCTTCAAAATTTATCACTATGAGTCAAAGTATTGAGAATTCTAGTTTTTTTTATAATTTCTAGTTTATTCAAAAAGTAATTTTTAATTTCAACTGAGCGGCACCCGTACAGCAAGTAGGTAGAAGTGAGAAATACCATTTAGATTTTTGCAAATTATGATGAAAATTAATCCTTTCGCTACGGATGTCATTTCTGGACGACATCCACATGACGTGCTGCGCATACGGATGTCGTCCACGGACGACATGCTGTGTTTGGATTTGCTTCAAAATTTATCACTATGAGTCAAAGTATTGAGAATTCTAGTTTTTTTTATAATTTCTAGTTTATTCAAAAAGTAATTTTTAATTTCAACTGAGCGGCACCCGTACAGCAAGTAGGTAGAAGTGAGAAATACCATTTAGATTTTTGCAAAATATGATGAAAATTAATCCTTTCGCTACGGATGTCATTTCTGGACGACATCCACATGACGTGCTGCGCATACGGATGTCGTCCACGGACGACATGCTGTGTTTGGATTTGCTTCAAAATTTATCACTATGAGTCAAAGTATTGAGAATTCTAGTTTTTTTTATAATTTCTAGTTTATTCAAAAAGTAATTTTTAATTTCAACTGAGCGGCACCCGTACAGCAAGTAGGTAGAAGTGAGAAATACCATTTAGATTTTTGCAAAATATGATAAAAATTAATCCTTTCGCTACGGATGTCATCTCTGGACGACATCCACATACGTGCTGCGCATACGGATGTCGTCCATGGACGACATGTTGTGTTTGACTTTGCTTCAAAATTTATCAGTATGAGTCGAAATATTGAGAATTCTAGTTTTTTGTTATAATTTCTAGTTTATTCAAAAAGTAATTTTTAATTTCAACCGAGTAGTGACACTCCTGCCGAAAGCATTCTTGTAGCAAAAGGGTTAATAGCATAAATTTATATTTACTGATCTATATATTAATATCCGTCAATTTGAATGCGATTAATATTCATCTTTTTATCAATATTTGCTCAATTACCATTATTTGTTTTTTGACAAGGAACAAAGAACAACTTTCGCTAATATTTTGCAATTACGTATACTCGAAATGGCCAAATTAACACTTGTCAATAAGATTTGCTTCGCACAAATGACGACCTTATTTTCTGAATGAAATGCAAACTTTCACTGTTTGCTAATTGTGAAGTACGCTCTCTTCAGCATATTATTTACAATATATCGAAATTTCACCAAAGAATTTATGTTTGATCATCGTTTTTGCATATATGTATCATTTAAGTCGATGACAATGTGCTTTCTTTGTAATTGCGGTTTGCGGTTTTGATGCGTAAAGATTAAATGTGCATTTAACCACGTAAAATAAGATTAGATTCTGTATTAAAAAAAATACTATAACTCAAATTTAAAAGATATAAACCGTGTCTTACACATTCTTGCAACTTTAAAACTTGCACGCATCTAACGCAAAAAACGCTTTACAACTTTTTTACAAGAAATTTTTAATACAATAATTTGAAAAAATCATAAATTTTTAACGTTATAAGATAAATGATGATAAATTTTATTAATATCATTCACGATGATTTGCTTTTTTTTAATTTTAAATGTCTATTTTCAATGAAATATTGAAACTTTATAAGTTGTTCTAATATGAAAAGTAGACTTTAGTACATGCAATCGTGTATTTTCAAATAACCTGTAATAAAATTATACTATTTAGTATTTTTATACAAACCAAAAACTTGAAAATAAAAATCTCGATTCAAATTTCTAATCAAAATTACTCAAACTGAACAAATAAAAATTTTGAAATTAATTAAAATACAACACTGCATTTTTTTATACTTTCAAAATATATAGTGTGATATAAATCTTTTATCGTTTTATTATTTATAAAATTGTCTTCCACCAAATTTTTCCCTGCCGTGAAACAATAATTTTAGCCTTCCATATGACTCATTTCATGTATAATTGGCACATCACAATGTATAATAAAATATACTTTCGATGATTCCTGACTGCAAGATTGATAGTACTTGTTATATTACACACAATCGATTTCTTTTCATGTTAACATATACTCAATGGGCAATAAAGACACGCGACCATAAGGCACTTGGAAAGCAACTGAAATAATAAAAATTACTGAAAACATTATTTAGTTGGGATATAATAATTAAAAAAATGTGTTCACACTTGTATGGATATTTGACATTATTTTTACAAAATCGAACAAAAAAAAAAATAAAAAAATAGGGACTAATTGATTATGCATAAATTGTAAAACTGAAATAAAGCTAGCATGGCTTAGTGCTTTAAGGCAAAAAGCCTATAACGCAATCTAAAATTTCTAAAAGTTTTTTGAAACCTTTGAAAAAATTAGATTTAAAAAAAAAAATATTTTTTTGGAATGTTTTTTTGAATCAGTTGATTGTGCTCCAAATATCGTCGACGAAATTTTGTATCCGCACATACATACTACACACACACACACTCACACATACATCTAGTTTTTTTAAGGTATGCCAAAATGTTCAGAAGACTTGAAACATAAAGATATGCAAAATATTTCATTTTAGATTTTTTTGCGATTACCATAACTCGTTTCACGGGATGTTAAAAATAACCAAGAAAAAAGGGTAATTCGGGATGTTATTATCGTCAGGAGCACTGAATACAATTGCTTTTACACTCATTTAGTAATTTGACATCATTTTTACAAAATCAAAAATATTTTTAAGGCTAATTGATTATGCATAAATTTTGAGAAATATTATTTTTACTGACATTTGTTGAATTTCAATTTTATTCCTTTTATGATAGCTTTAGGAATTAATTATCTTGAATGCAAAAACTTGATAATAAATTTTCACTTAAAAATCAACTGAAATAAAAAGAAGGAAGTATCATTACATACGTTTTTACACTCATATGATTATTTGACAACATTTTTAAAAAAATTTAAAAAAAATCAAGACTATTTGATCAATCATAAATTAGAAGAATATATTTTTTGCTTTAGTTGTAATTCAATTTTAAGATTTAAATATGAATGTATAAATTTAGTAAAAATTTTCATAATTATAGTCCGATATAACACTGTAACACCAATACTACTAAATAAGTGTTTGTTTTTTTGTGATTTTTGGAAAATTATTGATCTAGTTTTTATACCGTATTTTTTTTATAAAATATGTCCAACCTTAATTAAAAAGAATACAAAATGTACGAATATTAAAATAAAAATTCTACAACATTATATTTAGAATTATCTGTAAACTTTATTTTTCAATCTTTATCTTATAATTTTATATTTATACATTCTATAAGATAGGTATTAGACATAGTACAATTTTGTACTATATTATAGTTTTGTAGTTATTAACTGAATTTTATAAATTTAAAAATAATTTAATATTTAGAAAATCTGAAAATATCTTCTGAAAAGACAGTTTTTTATGATTTTTTATCTATTTTTCTATGTAAACATAACTATTAATTTAAAATCTGCGTTTTCTAGTAGTTTCTCTTCTTTTTGTACAAATTTCTAGGTACTATTTATATAGTATTTAAATTGATTTGTTAATAGTCACAATGCAACTGTAATTTAATCAATTTATGAGTCAGATACCATAACTATTAATTAATATTAATAAATGTGCATTGCTATGTGTATTAAAAAAATTATGAATAATGAAATGATATAATGATTTATTAAAAATAATTTATATCATTTTTGTGTCACCATTTAATTATACCTACAGTTTTTACACGAAATAATTATTACAAGATCAATTGTATTTTATCAAGGATATGAATATGTTTGATGCATTTGAAAAAAACTTTAATTTTAATTATACGATCTTGTAGGAAAAGGAAACTTACTTTGATTGAGTTGCACTCACTGGTATATTATTACACCATATAATTCATATAAATAATAATTGCATGTATTTCATAAAATAGATCAAATTTTGACGAGTGAGACCTTGGCAACGTATAAATACAGAATATGAGGGAATATTGTTCGTACTCTTGGTATTCATGCGACTGCGGTTTCAGAACATTAACCCATATTTATTTCGCAAATGGTACAAATAATTATTTAGAAATCGCCACATATGTTTTACGTTCAAGAAGGTTATGCGCGAATCGAGGAGCCATTTGCGGTGTCACTTTTATTACTCGACGCGGAATCACTCTGCTCTTTGAATTGTCGCAAATTTAATGGAAATTTAATCAGTTTGTGGTTGGAAACATTAGTTTAAACCAGACATTTAAACTTTCTTTTTCATTTTCCAATTTTGCACTAAAATTAATAACTAATGTTATCACATGCAAACTTTTTTTTTCTTCAATATTATTAACTTCTCGTAGGGTAAAATATAGTAATCACAAAAAAAATCAAAAACGAAAATGTTTATATATTTTTACGTTTCAAAGCTCTCTGAACATTTTGGCATACCTTGGAAAAAATAGATGTATGTAAGTGTGTATGTAAGTAGGTGTGTACGTATGTGTGTGTGTGCAGATACAAATTTTTGTCGACGTTCTCGAGAACACATATAAACCGATTTGAAAAATTAAAAAAACATTCGGTTTGTATTGATAAGGAGACGTGCTGATTAGTTTCTGGCTAAGGCAGGTCCAGCTGATTCGGATATATAGGGCAAAAAGTGAGAAAAATGGTAACTCCGTTTTTGAGATAACGAAGCGTCCGATTTAAATGATTCAAAATACGTTTTATTTGCATTAATAAAAACGAACAACTGGTTAAATTTTTGGAAAAGCAGGTCTAGTGGTTTTGGAGATTCAATAAAAAAAGTAAAAAAATGGATTTTGGAGGTCAAAAATAATTATTAAACATATGTACATCAAATTATCAGATATTTTATATAAATTTTAAAAATTTTGTTTTGTGTACATATTTATTTCTCGTTATTTAACTTGATGGAAATCCAAACAATTACTTTTGAGTCCTATCTCTATGTAATGAATTTCATTACATATTATGATTTCTGTAATGGCATCAAAATATTCAGTTGGAAACATATTTCTACATATTTATGATTCTTAAGTAAACAGCAACATTAGTACTGCTTCACATTAGGTTGCCCGAGGCAGGTCATAGCATTAACCATAAATCCACCAACATTTTTATACTTTGATTTTTGTTTTATCAGTGTAAATATATAAAAACATTTTATTATCTACAAAAATTTCTAAAAATATTAATAATATTAATTGTATACTGGTGGTGACAAAAATCATAGTATCAAACCGTGTAACTTGTAAATTTATTTAATTTATTGAGTGCCAATAAGTTTGATAGTTAGCTCTATGAAACTGCTGACATGCCTTCTCTATAAAAGCAGGAGCAAGTTTCGAAAATTAGCAATTTGTTATAAAAACAAATATAAAAATATAAAAATTTAACCCATATATTATCATATAACAAAATACAAACCAAATGCTTTACTCTTTAAAAAATCATAGCTTAAAATCATGTAAAAAGTTCTAACATAATAAATTTTTAATTTTACACGATTTTTCTTATATTAATTCTTTTTAAATGATATTTGAAATTTATTTTCAAACACCGAGAATTTTTATCAAATATTTTAGCTGTACATACTTTTTTCATTGGCGGAGTATTTTATTGTATTGAAATACTCTATTTTAGTTAAATTTGCAATTTGTAAAATATGAAATACATTAAAGTGTGTGTTTATAATACGAATAATGAATCAAGATAAATGAATGAAAAGTTATCTAAAAGATTCTACTTGGAAAAAAAAGTTACAATTATTGTAAAGCTCATTTGTAACATAAAAATTGCACCTAATGTACTTATTGAAAATAGTCTTTATTATATATTAATTATTGCTATTATTTTGGCACATTATATCGTATTATAGTGATAAATATTTAAATTTTTATTGCAGTTTAAAATTGAGTAATTTATGGCAAATATGGTACATATTTGCGTTTTTCACACTAAACATAAATTTAGATTAAATTTGGATCTTCACGCTTTATTTACAATAATTATTTATTTACATAATTACCTCAATTAGACTAAAGTTTAACCACTTTATTTACCATTTGCCCGATATTTTATTAATATATATTATGACATTTTCATAACTTATTCTTATCAAATCTTTTGTAGAGAGTAAATTTAATTTTTTATTTTGGGGATATTTATAGTTCTAAATTATAAATAATAGTCGAAATTTTTCCAAAACAAATATTATTGTTAGTACAAAATTAAAAAGTTTGGCTTAGTATAAGTTTTTTATTTTACCTATTCATAAATGTTTATAAAAATATACTAGTATAAAAGAAGTAAAGTAACACTTTATTCTCCAGATAAATTTCCATGATTTTGTTTTATATAATTTTATAAAACAAAACATGTATATTTTTGAAATAAATTGCAACTACTTGATTAATTCATGTTGATCTAAATATTATCATTTGGGTAATTTTTGTAGTAACTCTTCTTTGTTAGCAATATTTAAATTGAGTGATGATCATTTCTTTTAAATGAATCATTCTAAATGCTAATTAGATACAATGTTTGAACTGATAATGACTAAAAAAAAGATCTAACTAAATATAAATATGTCCCATTTTTTTTGGAACAGTTGTCTGATAATACTTCCTTCCGAGAATATTTTTATACGACAAAATACCTATTTCTAATTTCTATATGTCATCATAACCAAATTTACTAATAACCATATTTTTTCACCTGTAACAATATATGATTTATGTCATAGTCCCAATTTACTAATTTCACATTAATATTTAATACAAATGTGCTTGAATAATTGATTTATTTTAAGAGATGGTTCATTTTTGAGCAAATACGTTTTTTAATAATTATGGACAAATTTGCATATACGCTGGTTATCTAATTAATTTTGTTTTTAAATTTGGTAATTTATGAAATGTTCCGTTGTTTAATTTGATAAGTAATTGTATTGTGAATTTTATAAAAAGCAGACATAATTGCTAATGAGATAATGTTTGGCAAAGTTTAACGACTCATGAGTAACAGAAATATAATAAATAATTGAATCTAAAGAAGGTTTTTTATAATACTATTCAAAAAATTTTATTAACTCTCTAATAAATCATTTTAATATAACTTTAAATTAGTTAATTATTGACAAAACAAAAACATTATAAATTTGAATTTCGAACTACATTTTGCTACTAAAATTTGTCAATATTTATCACTACCAGTTTTAAATATTTCAAATATATTATTTACGTATTGTTAATATTATTATATTATTTCATTAGTCTCATGAATTATATATTCACATATATAATTTGTTCATTGTATGGTTTATTATCGTGTAAAACTATCAAATATTTTAGGTTTTGTTCAAAGTTTATTCTTAAATATTATGCTCCTACATCTTTTACACGAATTCAAATGTTAATTTTACGTTAATAATATTCAAATGTTAATAATACTTGATTCTAATTGTGATTGTGATGTAATATTCGACGTAAACTGAAATTTACAAGCATTTTAATTTTTTATTGTAATATCAAATTTGAATATGATTAATTGATATATTAATATTTATTCTATCTCTCTGTATCACTTGCTGTTTTATATTTTTATAAACATTAAAATAAAATTAAACAAAATATTAATAATTTGTTGTCAAGTATTCTATATCAAGTTTAGTTTTAGTTTTACTTTAAAGAAATTAAGTCGTAATGCTTCATAACAAATTTAATTAAACCTTAATTTGGCACTAAAAGTTTTGCATGGCCTTATGAATTACCAAAATGTATAATTGTACATTTTGGTATACTAAAATTTAAACTTTTTTTACGTTCATTTGTAGTTTCATGTTTTTATAAACATTGAAATAAAATTAAAACTAAAAATGATTAATTATTCATTGTTGCAAATATAAAAGCTTGAAATAATGTAATTTAACTTAATTTTGCACCAAAAATGTCTTATTACATTGTTTGATATTACCAAAATATAAAATTGTAAATTGGCCTTCTTTACTTGGCTTTGCTGTACCTAGTGCTTTGAATGTGATTTTTCTAAAATTAGTATGAAATCGATTTGCTTTATATAAAACCAGCAATAAATTTAATGCTGTCTTGGTTTTTCATAAACTGCTCTATATTAATTCGTAACAAACCTTTGTTTTTTATCAATTATCTGAACCTTTTCTTTCGAAGAATAATAAAGTCTTATAATAACTTCAATATAACATTATCATGTCAATTGATAAACTTAGAAGATCTCATTGGAGTTCTTCTTAGACATCTCTCTCTAATATTGTCTCTCTAAATTTAGCTCATAGGCATCTTTATGTATTTCTGATTGTTAAATAAAACAAAGTTCAAATAATAATAATAATAATAAACAATATTAACTAACAAATTACAAACTCCAAACAAATTGTTGAAAAGGTAAAGGTCTAATATCTAGTGACCACAGATTCAAAAATATAAAAAGAACCGACTTCAATATTACAGTTCAACTGGTGTACAGTTTTGCAAATCAATATTGTATTTCTGATGGCTAAATTAAAGTAAACTAAAGTAACAGGCATGACATCGTGCCTTAAGGCAAATTACTTTATTATCAAAAAAAACTAAATCACCATTTTTGGCACTTTTTGCTCCGTATTTTTGAAACGGCTGAACCTCGCCAAATCTAATTAGCACGTTTCCCCATCAATACAAATCGAATGTTTTTTGAATTATTCAAATCAGGCGATCCATATTCCTAAAATTGTCAACGAAAATTTGTATCCGAATACACACACACACATACATCGACTTTTTCAAAGGTATGACAAAATGTTCAGAAACCTTTTAAACGTAAAGTGGTGAAAATCACTTTCATTAATTATATATTAAGCGGACTGTTAATTATAAATATTCTACCACCATATAAGATATGTGAATAAAACCACTATCTAGTTTACGATCGTTACGAACATCTCTCATTACTTTTGCTAGAGTTTCTCAGTTATTATAAGTTACAGGTATTTATATTCATACATTTATACTCTCTGCCTTGAAGGGTCCCGGGTTAAATAGAGAAAGCCCTGGTCAAATCTTGACCATATGGATATATAGAAATTTAATTTTCGATTATTTTGCGATTACTATAACTTACCCCACTGGGAGTTACTAAAAATGATGAAAATATTTAGTTATAATTAAATGTTTTAATTTAAATATTTAATCATTCCAGTGATACCTCAGACTTGTCGGTACAAAGGCGAACGGTTCGAATGCGGTTTGTCAATTTCTTGTGTCCTGGGCGGCGGAAAGCCCCTTGACCTGTGCAGCGGCGGAATGATCTGGTCGTGCTGCGTCGACAGGGACATTCGGCCTGAGCCGCAGCACCAGGGCGCTCTGCAGAACGCAAGTGAGTAGAACGGAAAAATATTGTATACTTGACTGTCCATTGGAAATTTAAAAAAAAATGCTATCACGATTTGTTACCAACAGCGGAATTTAGTATTTTAAAGCCAAAAATAAATTTTTAGGTTAGTAAGTTAGTTGATTGTTACATGCTGTTGCTAGAAGATTCGTCTTGCTGGTCGAATTTTCTCATAGTTCTTGGTGTGCATATAATATATGCAAGCCTAAAACCCGTGTCTATTTATTGATATAATATATTATATTCTATAAATAAATAAATATAAGTTCAATGTACTGCATCAAAAGTTGAAAAAAAAACATGTTTATGAATCGCGCCAACCATTTACCTATTACTCTATTTAAAAGAGAGAACATATATTTTTGTAATAGTTAATTTACAATCATATTTTGTTGATCATTATTTTGTGTCATAGTCGTAGAAATTAGGACTTTCTTTATTATTATTATCTCTTTTATTTACAACTGTCCAGTTAAGGACATTTAATAAGTTTGATAAATTTACAATAGTCGGCTGAAAAGGGGCATTGTATACTACAAGGGCATGTTGAAAAAAACTACTCAGTAGTTGTTATGATATTTGATTAAATTAAAAAAAAAAAAACATTTTTTTAAAAAATGTCAAAATGGTTGCAATGGCGTAGATCGTTAACGCGCGGACAAATGTAGATAGAGTCGCGAGTTCGAACCCCCTGGCAATCTGGCATCGGACAGCAGCGATGTCCATTTTCACTCGAAAATATAGATAAAAAATATGTTTTCAATTAAAAATAAGCTAATTTCGGGCACCGCGGTGAAAAATGGTAATAGGAAATTTTTCACACTATTATTTCCTGGATTAAATTCGACAACACATTTGTATTTATTTATGTTGCTATATTAATACTACATCAACCAGAAATATTTTTATTACTGCCTACCAAAATTATTATCAAATATAAATGTGGCTTGAGAATAATTACATATATAATAATTATATAGAGTCATTAAATTTTCTCAAAAGTTTTGTTAAAGTTGAATAGTATTGCATCTTTACTGTCTACTCATAATCAGCATTAATAACACATTTTAAGCTATTCTACATTCAATCAACATCATAATTATTTTTTTATTGATATTTGAGGTAGCTCATTATAATTTATAAATTTCATAGTTTGTGCATTCTAAATATAATTAAAGTTTTATCTATATGAATAAAAATAAAATTATTAAATTTGTTGCAAATTCGTTCATTATGTTACTGTTGAGTACTATTAGTTAAATTGCAATAATTTTGTTGCGCTTATTTGAGAAATCATTCACGAACAAAACATAAATATTTATTTTCAATACCATTTTTTGTCAGTACAAATGTGCTTTAAAGAATTTATTATCGTTACTCAGCAAATGACTCTTATATTAAATGCTCGAAGTTATTAATTTGTGGATGATTTGCCAAATAGTAAATTTTTTTAATATATGTTATCATCTGTGTAACCTTCATTTCTATTATATATACAATAATGAATCTTTAATATATTTGCCAAATTTGTTGATCTGTCAAATCATCAATTCAAAACGAATCCACACAACATATTTAAAATCAGCTAATTTTTTATGATGAACCTTGACATGGCTCCGTGGTACTAAATGATACTCACCTTCTTAACCAATCTGATATCAAACAGTAGTGGTATCAGATTTCCACAGATCACATATTTCAAATGTGATATCAAGTTAAAATAGCCTTTAGAGTCATTGTTGCAATTTATATGCAAATTACTTTAAAAAATATGTTTAATAAAATCAGAAATGTGGTCAACCAATAGGTTGTCTTCTAGAAAAACTTGGTTAAGGGATGTACATCACAACAGTTCAAAAAAAGACAGTGCTCAGATTGTTGTAAAAAATATATAAGTTATAAAAAATGTTTTAAATCTCACCAAATCGAAATAAATTAATATTTTTCCTTGGTTATAAAACTGCATTGCACTTTCTAACAATAAGTTACTTTGCTTTTGTAGAGTATGGGATGCAAGATGCAGCATTAACATGTATGTAAAAAAAACGCATGAGTGAACCTAGAATTTTAATCTCTATTACGAAAGCGTTGCAGGAAAATAAATATTTAAATAAATAGTTTTAAACTTACGAAATAGTTCTAAACTTAAACGAAATCTTAAAACAAATCTTAGACAAATTTATCCATGGTTTGATTTTAAGCTTAAGCCAGCTCGGTATCTAGCTGTATGATATCAAATTATCATTTGGGGTAATAGATTCCAAATATAATTTCAAGTGAAAATCGGCTTTCGGAGGGCATTGCTGCAGCACATAGATATCTAATATATTTACTCCACACATTGAAACAAGCGTGGTTGGCCGCTGGGTTGCCTTCTCGAGAAAATGATTAAATTATAATTTTCAATAGCAACCACAGTTTATAAAACATGTAGACCTAATTGCTCCAGAAAAAATTGAAAACAATAAAGTTATCCATTAACATATGATTTCTATGCGTGTATAGAGATATAAAACTGAAAGTAATTTCTTATCATATGAATTCATTAAAATGTTTTTTTGAGACCGTGATTTTATATGCAAATGAATCTACAAAAAAATAAACGAAGGCCTTGAAATATAACAGAAAGTAATGAAAAAGTCAAATCATTCGATGACCTTGAATTTGAATTTTTACTTTCACTTATTACAATGAGAGACGCATATTTGCCAAACTTTTTTTACTCGTTCGTTCCGCAGGTTATTTTTATTAGCGATAAATTAAATGTGACCGTTTGGATCTGCTGGAAGATTACCTGAACTTTCTTCACCTTAAGAAATTTTGTCTCATTAAGAATTGGATTGGAAAATTATTTTTAACTTTACGACGTGCAATGAATTTCGTGTAATAAATGTAATTGCAATAATTGAATACCGGTAATATTGAAGGATATTTTATGATTTTTAAGATCTCAATTTTAGTGTTATGCTGATGGGACCAGTATGAATTGTTATAGAACTGTCATCATATATGCGTAACACATTTCTAGATATTTTATTTCCTTTTTTTTTCAACCTAATTCAAGTAAATTAATGTAAATTATAACAATAGTATAAATAGGGAATAGGGAAGTGTTAAACATATTCCATTTTTTAATTTGACAAATTGGCCACTAACTATATCGCATTTATATAGAATAAAGCGGGGCATAAAAGTCCAATTTGATTTTGAGCAATTATATTGTAAAAACTAAACCAATTATATCATAACAAATCATACAAATCTGCTGTTTCTGTGGGAGTTTAGTAGAACTCCCAGCTAATTCAACTTTGTAGAAACGTGTTTCATTCTGTTTTTCAAAAATTTCTTATCTGGTTTATTTTACCCCATAGGCAGGGACGGTCATAGAAAAAACAGATCCAATGTCTTACTCTTAATTTCAAAGGAATTTTACAAAATGATTGCTACATTATTCAACCAATGCAAAATATAAATTTCATGGCACACTTTTTACAAAGATAACATAGTATATAACCTAGATCTGGTGTTTTGTCCAAAATGTTCATCAGCAGAGTTGGAATAACTATTGATTTCTCTTGTAAATTTGCTTATTTCAACTTAATTTACTTTTTTATTTACTAGTTTTTATTGTTTACATCTTTGCTCTAGAGTAAAGATGTAGTTGGTTCTTTTTGCCCGACCTGCATGTTAGCTTCTATAGAGGTTATATAAAAAAAACTTGATGAATCTAACCTAAAACTAACAATACATCTTATAAAACAAACAAACAACATATATCTATGAGCTATATTAAGGACTCGTAAACTAAACAACAGTGCTCACAAAGAAAAACAAAATACTTTTGTTACGGATTTTCAAACATTGCCATTTATTTCCTGATAGTAACGTTGTAAGAATCAAGGCGATGGTTATACAACTATATCTCTTTACTTTCAAATACTGTTGTTAAAAAATCCCTAACTTGTTTTTGAAAAATGACTGATGAACCTTTTTACTCGCGGATCTCTATCATATTACAAAATGAGCTAGTTAGGAAATTAAGCGTAAAATTATTATCAAACTCTGCTTTACAAGAATATTATTAACTTAAAACCCAAAATAAAAAAGCTTGTCAATAGGCAAATTTCGAACACTATTTTGCATGTGATACACCAAAGTAAGAGTTTTACAATTTCTTGGACCATATATAGTGGTTATAGAAACATTTTTTTCATAAATTACTTTAAACTTATAAATGCGGTTTTATATTATAAATGATCATCTGGTACTGGTAACCTTCTTAATAGAGCAACCTGCTAATTTCAATATTTAGGAAAGCCTTATCATATTGTGTCTTATCATATCGTTTATTTGTCTATTATTTATCATAGAATATTTTTTGGTATTATCTTTAGTAGAAAAAACTGCAAATTGCAATACTTAGAAAACCAATTGCGATTTGTGAAAACATTTACTTTTTTTTACTATTTATTGTTTAATAATTTTATTGGTTTTTCCAATACTAAAACAAATTGCTAATTGAAGTATTTAGAAACTAAATTTAAATTTACTTAATCACATCATTTATTTGATCAGAATATAATTGTATAAAATTGATATCAATCATATCCCACACACCATAAGTATAATACTCCTCAAATTACTTCCGTTTAAGTAGCCGTAAATCTTCGTTTTTTTGGCCGAAAAATTTCCAGAAGCACTTGCTCCATTTTAAAGCGTCTTTAAATCGCATATGGATACACATTCGTACATATGGTTGTGTGGTGTGGTGTGGGTACATATTACAGATTACAACTTTCTTACAAATACAAAATCTCAGCCGCTGCCACCATTGTTCGTGTGCAGTGACTGAACAGAGTCGTGAATGAAGAGAAAGTATACTTGCGTATATGGTGCACGGACCACTGCCACCTTGCCGCATACACTCGAACGATTCGCAAGTAAACAAAGGCAATTATTTTAACAATTCGGCGATGAACATTTTG